TATTTTGAATATAACCAATCCATCTTCTCCATTCCAATATGTATCTTTCTTGTGTATAGTCCTTCAGATATGCTGAAATTTTCACCATTTCCACTAAGTTCATCACTTTCAATGTCCATTCTTCAATAGTAGGCAAAGAGTCCTCCTTCCAATATTGCGCTACCAACAGCCTAGCTGTTTCAAGATCAGTTTAGTCTCTAATACTGTACAATCCGTCGTTATACCCAATAAAAACAATTGAGGAATAAATTTCAACCTTTTTTTCAGAATGTTCTGCATCACCCACCAAATTTTTATCCAAAATGCCTTGATTCTCTTACAAGTCCACCATATATGGTAATAAGTTGCATCATCAGATTCACATCTCCAACTTTTAGCTTGTAAGTTTGGATACATACATGATAATTTTTTAGGATCTAAGTGCCATCTGTAAAACATTTTATAAAAATTCTCTCTCAAGTTTTGTGCTTGCGTAAATTTGACATTTCTAACCCAAATCTTTTCCCATGTTTCCATCATCACTGGTTCCTGAAAGTTTTGTGCCCATTTTATCATATAATCCTTAACCAATTCCGTTTCTGAATCTATTTCCAATAAAGCATTATACAACCTTTTAATATGCATCTGACTTTGGTCTCTAATCTGTTTCACAAGATTTTCCTCATTTTGCATAACACCAATTTTTTGATCTTCCCTCCATCTAGCTTGAAGCTGGCCACACTGAAACCAAGTATAAATTATCCCTTCTTCTTTTAATACATCTAAAGATTTCAATTGCAGCTTACCCCTTTCCAAAAAAAGAAGCTCTTTATAAGTAATCACCTCTGTTTTTTGCTCTATCAATTAAAAGCATTTTTCCAGTCTGTGTTAATAATTCAATTGCAATATATCTTCCTTGATCATCTGCCTCAATTAAATTAGCTGATAGTCCTTTCTTTACATATATGACTAACCCATTTTTCTTCTCTGGCGCTGATGCCACAAAGTGTGTACCTAATCTTGAATTTATCAAATATTTTTGATCTAATAACCTAATATGTGTTTCTTGCAGACAAATAACATCATTGTTAAATTGTTTCAAATAATGAAATACTTTCTTTCTTTTTTGTGGTGAGTTTAGGCCATTAACATTCCAAGATAGGAATTTAGTTGCCATCTTTAGCCTTTCGAAGCCGCATGAGCATCAGCTGAACATCCTCCTCCACCTTACTCTTCGGCCTAGCCCCCCCCCACTGCTTCTGTTTTTTGAACTCCTTGAGATAGATCTTGAGATTGTTGCATTTTTAATTGTTGTTCTTGAAGTTTATAAATTGATCGGGTCAGTCGTTGTTCTTTTGGCTCTCCCTTCTTAGATGGTTCCAGAGTTGGGGGTAAGCCCCCAAGATCCAGGTTTTCTTCCATGGTGATTCCAACTGCAACTTCAGCATAAATTTGTATCTGCTTTCCATCTTTTTCTTGTTGTAGCATCTCCATTTTCTTTCTACCTCCCCCCCGCCACCGGTGAGGGTGGGTATCCAGCCTTTAAAATATTGACATAAAAATCTTTTGCTTTCCAAACTGTGTTTAACCGGTATCTTTCTCCACTATAAGTCACTATTAGACCAGTTGGAATGTCCCATCTGTACGACACTTGTTGGTTTCTCAGCTCATTTACCAAAAAGCCAAAGTCCTTTCTGCTTCTCAACATTTTTGGAGGGATCTCTTTCAAAACCACCACTTCTTGCCCAGCCACCTGAACCTTATTCTTGTAGGAAGCTTGTAAAATATCATTTCTGATCCTCCTGGTTGTAAAATAAATCACCACATCTCTTGGCAGCTGTCTTTGTCTTGCCATCCAGGAATTAACCCTGTAGATTTTATCAATTCGACTTGCCACATCTTCTGGTCTTTCTTTAATTATCTATGCAATAGCTTCAGCACAAATGTCCTTTAGATTTTCCTTACTATTTTCTTTCAGACCTCTCAATCTCAAGGCAAATTCCATATTGTAACATTACCAATTCATCATCCACCTTCTCTGTTTTAGTCATAATATCTCCTACTTTGTTCTCCAAATTCAAGTTGGCTTCGTTGATTTCTTCCACTCTCTGAATAACAAGTTTTGACAATCCTGAGACTGCAAAAACAATATCATCTCTTATTTCATCATGCTTTGCTGCAACAACTTCTTTAATTGACTTTAAATTTCTTTAACTTCCCTTCCACAATTACTGTTAGGTTATTCATAGCTGCATCTTGGTTATTCATGGCTTCTTTCATAAATTCTTTAAGATCATTAAAAGCAGCCTCCTGACTCTGTGAATCAGCCGGAAGTTGCGCTTTCTGTGTCACTACAGACACTAATGGAGAACCTCCTCCTCCTCTGGCAACTCCTGGCTTAACTTGTTTAGAAGCCATCTTTTTTTTTTTTTTTAAAGGATCTTTTTTCCTTTCAAAGCCACAAAATCCCTTGAACAATTTTCAAGAGCTTGTAATTTATAGTCTCTAATTTATCAAACAAAATAATCTTTTCTCCATAAGCTCACAGTTCTCAGCAACTTTAATCCACTCTCACAGTGCAAAGTTCTCAATAAGCACTTTCGTTTCTGACTTTCACTTTCACACCCATAACAAAGGTGCCATCTTCAGCCTCCAGCTCAAAGAAATTCAATTAGAAACAAAGTAAGTCCGGAGTTAAGCACTGTTATTTTAAAGCTTGTTCTCCTGTTTCCGCTCTGCCTGCGCTTGTAATCAATCAAACTCACTTTTGACAGCAGGATTGGTCGCGGCGTCTGGCTCTGTTTGAAACAGAGTTGCCTCAGATCCGGAGCTTCTTAGTGGGCTGGCTGAGGAGCTCTCACCCTCCAAGCCTCTGGAATTATTCCAGAGGACTTTCAGGGAGCTCTACTCGCACCCACCGGCTCTCCTCTCCTTCTTCTCCTGATGGAGAGGTTTTTCAGCTGCCAGACAGCTGATTAGCGCTGTCAAAGTGGCTTTTACGAAATCGCGGGGCTGGGGGACGCGTGCGGTGCCAACCGGAAGTCCGATGGAATTCTTTATATAAAAAAATCCAAGAGTCACTCGAGACACTAATGTTGGACCTATATAATGAAGCGCTAGAACAAGCCAGATTACCAAACTCATGGATAGAGGCATACATCACTCTAATACTAAAAGAGGATACGGACAATTAGCAGATTAAAAACTACAGGCCAAACTCACTAGTAAATGCCAACTAAAATTTTTTGCTACAATAATTGCGGAAAGGGTTAAAAAATATTAAATGAAATTATCCACCCCGATCGAAATGGGTTTTTACCAAAAAAGCAATTGAGAAATAACACAAGAATGATAATGATTTGCTGGAATACTATGAAACCCATTCCGAGAACCAAGTAGTGCTGATATTTGTAGACGCACAAAAAGCATTTGATAATTTAAATTGGCAGTTCCTCATTAAACATCATGAATTTTGGAGAAAAAATTATAGGGATGATCTACTACTAAACGGGGAAGCAACAGACAAATTCAATATAACCAAAGGGGTAAGACAGGGATGCCCACTATCTCCCCTTTTATTCATTCTATCATTGGAAGTATTACTGACACATATTAGGCGAAAGCAAGAAATAAAAGGATTAAGAATAAAAAAAGAAGAGTATAAAATACAAGCCTTTGCTGACGATTTGGTTTTTATTATAGAAGACCCACTAGAGACAGGAACATTAAAAGAAGAATTCAGCAAAGTAGCAGAGCTTAAAATAAATAAAGATAAGACAAAAATAATAACTAAGTAAAGGGGAATTCCATAGAAAGAGGAATTGGAGGAGAAATTGGGAATTCAGATGGCTAAGAAAGTGAAATATCTGGGAATTTGGCTTCCCAGATTCATCATCCTCAGACGAATGGAGCCTGAGAAAGCCCAACAAATGGCTTGTTGGAGCAGTACCTTACATCAGTTATCAACAAGATAAGTGGTCTGACCTCTTCCCATTCCCAGAAATTGCATACAACAATGCAGTTTATTGCAGTATCGGACGCAGGCCATTCTGAGTGGTAACCAACCAAGACTTGTGGTTATACCAGAACTGCCGCAGAACTGGCAGAATGGATTAAATCCCTTCAAACTATACTTGGCCCGTTGTGCACAAGGCACTAGAACAGTGATGGCTAAGCTTTTAGGCACAGAGTGCCGAAACTGGAGAGCGTGCACACTGGCCAGTTAGTCCAGCATGCATGCGTGCCAGCCAGCTGCTCTCTTCCGGATTCCAGCACACACATGTGCACTGGCCAGCTGCACACGCTGGAACCCAGAAGAGAGCAGGTGGCCAGTGCGCATGAGCATGACAGAACCAGGAAGAGCAGCTGGCGATGGCTCTGCGTTCCAGCTCTGGCATGCATCATGGTTTGCCATCATGGCACTAGAAGATGAATGAGAAACTCACAAAAAATATGCAGATTAAAAAACACTCAGCAAAAGGATTTTCAAGTTGGAGAGAAAGTCTACCTCTCCACCAAATTCTTGCAATCCAGAAAGTAGTCCAAAAATTTGGGCCTGAAGTACATTGGCCCATTCCTCACTCTCTGAGTTATTAATCCAGTCACAGCTCAATGAACACTGCCAAAAACTCACCAACACTGCCATGAACCCTGGAAGGGGGGAGGGAGGGAAAGGGGAAAGCATGTAGGCAATTTTTGCATGCAAACCTCAGAACTGGCTTTCCTATCTTATAACCACTTGGTTTAGTAAAAGTATATCTTTCACTATAAATGCAGACAAAGGCTCTTTCCTTCTAAATTACCCAGTTGGGACAAGTTGGACAAATAGAAATACTTCTTTAAAAGTTTAAACTGCATTTCAGTTTGCACATTTTAAAGAAAAGTGCTGCAAAATATTGTATTACTGGGTTTAATTTTAAGTTTTTAAATAAATTTTAGAATGCTTCCTTTTAAGTAAAACATACAAATTGATCTTTTTTTTTAGAAGTATTCAAAATAAACACTAAAATCTCTTGTCCAAATAACTGGGAACAACCATTTAATTTTTTTTTTACATCAGTTTAAATAATCAAGTAAACATTCCAATTATAACACAAATGGTTAGAGATTGACAGGTCCAATTTCATCTATTTTGGAAAGACTGCAATAATGTTAAAAGTATTTGGGGAAGGTATTAATTATGGATTAACCAAGTTTACCCTTAAGGAGACCTATTATCTATTAAACTGATTAGTCATGGATGGAACCCAATTTTTTATTCCAGGACTTGAATGTAGTACACATTTTAGGCATTAAAGAAAACCTACATTTTAAAAAGCAAATATGTAAATTGCCATCAAAATGAAATCTAAAACATAACAACATGTCATTGGATGTGAAATTTAACAGATTGGGACAATGATATACATAGACATAATACAATGGAAAATGTGCAAGGGCAGAAATAGTTAAGAAAAATAATGCATAATGACACATTGGGAAAAATGTGTTAATTTGGGATATACGATTGGATTAGCAAACCTTTCTTTCCCTGTTACTCTGTCCACTTTATGTATTTCTAAAAGATAAATTTAATATCATAATTTGAATGTTACAAAAATATATTAGAAAATATGTGTCTAAAATTTGCTATTTTTCATGATTACTATAGGCATAAAATATATGAAACTATAACTATAAAACTGGGTAACTTATAAATATTATATGTACCCTTCTGTATGAACAATTGAATTAATTTCTTGCTACATGTTGAAAGGTCTCCTATGTCTGCAAAACTAGACGGCAATCTCCTTTAAGAGAGGCAACTAATGCCTCTCAGTATTAAATGGTTTTCCTGCTACAGAGGCTAGTCAAGTTCTGCAATACAAGGTGGACCTACTCCATTTGTCCCACTAGATCCTACAAAATCACTTTTAAAATACACTTTTAATTGTGAGATGATGAATACTTGTAAATATCCATACATAAAGATGTTATCTGCATTAATGTCATTAATTTTGTAATTTGTAAATTCAGTTACTTTTATTAGATTGGATACTAATAGCCTCCAGGTCAGAAATCATATCAAATGACACAAAAAATCAGATATTACTCAGACTATTGTTATTTGGACGTGTTAGTTAACCGAAACATGAACTTATATTTTTTTTATTCATTCCAAGCCCAATAGTTCTTAAGTGTTCAGAACTAATAGAATAAAAAAATGCATAAAAAGCCAACACCACAAATTGGTAGAGACCTTCCACCAGCAGAATTTCCCTTTATTTTAGTTTATTAATTGGATACATAATGGAGGCACTTATTTCAAACTGCTGGAAATTTTTTTCTTTTAAAGATAGAAAGAAGATATAATAACCCCTTCACACATGGTAACAAAGAATCAAGAGACAACTAATTAGAGAAGTCCATGCTACATGGCAAGCAACTATTTTTGGAGAAATATATTGCAAAAGAGGTTCAAAGCCCTTGGTAATGACTTTGGCAATAGAGGGACATTTACAGGAAGGCAGTGCTGGTTATTTGGGCAAATGACATAGAATAATAAAGGCACAAAGTTAGCACTCTGGAAAAGTCATATGCTTTAGGACATGAAACAAGCAATTTCTGTTTCTGATCACATAAAAAGAGAGAGGTCACTGGAAGGAAGCATTAAGGCAGATGGTATCTGTTCCATATATCTTATGGGCAAAGGACAAAGGTATATAAGTGAGAGTGGGCTGGGAGGCAACTTGGGTCTTCTTTTTAAAAAACTAGAATCAAAGTAGTACCAATGCTTCTTTGTTTTATGAAGAAATATATACAACCACAGCCCAGAGAGGGCAGATTGCTTTACCAGTCTGTTGACAAGGCTTCAGTCTTGCTCCACAAACTCTTGGGATAATAATGGTTCTAAAGATGGAGTAGCCAACATAAAAAAAACTTTTCAGAGATCATAGACTCCTATATGAGTTTCTGTGGGGCAGAGGGAACTTTAATCTATCTTGGGACAGTGTTTGCCACAAAGAATCTGTCTCAACCTAGAAGCAAATATAGTTCAGCTGATCTGAAGGACAAAGAAATCTGCATAAGGAAGTAGGAAAGTTTTTCTACTATATCTCTGTAAAAGTTTTTTTAAGTACTGCCTCTTCTTACCACTTCTCTATTGGAGGTTGAGTAATTATCCTGGCCAATTTTATATTAAAAATGATTAAATCATCTCCTGCAACTGGCAGTATTCTAGTATTACATCAAGCTCATCCCAAGTTGTAACTGGCAACTAAGTTTGTCTCTTCCACTGAAGCATAATCACTGGTTGTGCAAAGGGTAGCATGCCATAAGTCAGCACTATACCTGAGACTCAAAAACAATTTGGTGCATTCCTCTTTCCAATGATTCTGTTTGATAAAATCTTGCTCCAGTTTCATAAATTGGATTTATTAGCCATTTTTATTTGCAGTTCCATTATTTTTCAGAGCTATATAGAAATATTGATCAATATTGTACTAAAATGCCATGGTGGAAAAGTAGAGGTCTAAGAGGAATATTTCATATATACTAAGGAATCAAAAAGGGTGGCATGGGAAAATAGATCCAATCAACATTAATGGCAGGAAATGTTAGTAGAAATACAATCTCTCTAGTTTTACACATTTTCAGGCATTCTCATCACAATCACTCAAGTACCTAGGGGTTGTTTCTCTATTTCCAACAAAGTGCAAAACAATTCCACAAAACATAAGCCTCCATGTTCCCATGTGGAATGGGCCTGGTATGGCCACCATGAAAAACCAGGAAGAAATCAATCCTCCTCTTCCCCAGAAGGGAAGACTATGGTCATTAAATCCTTTTCTAGCCAAGACCCAGGAACACAGAGAGAAATAGAACAGGAATGCTTGTCTTATCAGAGCTATTTACAGGTAATCAACCGACAGCATCTATTTCTTGATGTCTGTTGCTATGGTTGTGTTATTGTGGAAAGGAAAGAGAGGAGGAGAAATAGGAAATATGTGCCTTGGCTTATAACTGACCAGATAGAAAGAGCTCCTTTACACTAAAGATTAAGCATGAGTTCTTTCCATGAGATTAACAAGTAATATTGCCTTCCCCTCTGGGTAGTGATCATGGTTAATCTAATAAGGAGGGTTCAGTTGGTCTGATAATGGTAGGCCGGTTCGGTGCTGCAGGAGGTCTTCTGCTGCAGAAAAAATGAACAGAGAAACAGAAGGTAGAAATTAGACACATATTGCCAAGGTACAAGAGCCTCAACATTCCTGCCCATTTTCCTGCTTCTTCTGAACTCCTATGCCATGTGCAAATGTTATAGAAATATTGCTTATCTTCTAGACAGCCTAAGATTATTTCTCCTTTTCCTCTCCATTTCAACTTTTGCAGAAAAAGTTTGACAACAATTACTTCTTTGGATGTGAAAGGAATCTCTTAAAGTTTACACCTATTTCTTCCCATAGATCTTTCAACCACTAAAAAAGCTGTACTATACCAAAATTCTGCATAAGAAATTTTCTAATTTTTTAGAGAGTATTTAAATACAGTATCTTCTATATCTATTCAAAATTAGTAAGTTTATACAGGAACAAAGACTGTGACTATTTAAATAAGCACAGATGACAGCTTATGTCATTGCCCAGGTTAAATGAAAAAAATTAGGTAAGGGAAATCTGAACTGACTCTTACCTGGGTACACCTGGAGGTATACCAGGTGGAATACGTGCTGGCCGTGAGGGAATTTGAGGTGGGGCTAAGAAAGGTTCATTATTAGTAATAAATGCACTTTGTGGTACAGGGCGTGAAGGAATGGGTGGTGCCACAAAAGAGGATGAGCCTGCTGCTGGCACTGGAATCAAAGGAGGACCAGGCATGGGACCCCTCACAGCTGGAGGTCTTCCTGGAGGCAACACAGTAGAAGGAGGCCTGCGCTGAGATGTTGGGCTGTAAGAGAAAAGAAAAAGGACACATTAAAATATTAAAGCTAGTATAATTTAAGATAACAGAACGCCAAATAATATCAATCATTTTCAGACAAAGCAGACAACAACGTGTGAAGTTTATTTCAAAAGCAATACAAGAATATTCTTTTAGGTAAAAAATATCCACTATACAAAAAAATCTTATTTTGATGAACAAAATTATTACAGAATTAGAAGCTGACTAACAAACACACACACATGGAAGAATGTGTATTTAGTTCAGTGTTATCATTCTAGAAGTGATAAACCAACTACAGAGTTCCAGATGAAGAATCTGGACCAATCCATTCAGCTGTGACAGTCATTTGTGGCTTTTGGCTTTGTGATGTTCCATATTTTCATCCTTCCCCTTAACAAATAGCATAATAGAACTAACTTACTACTATACCAACTCACCTATGCCCACCGCTTCCTGCCTGCAGCCATGTATCATCCACAGGAGGAGGAACTGGGGTGGAAACTGTACTGGTAGTGATGTCTCCAATTATATTCAAAGCTTCCTTCAGAGCATGGTACATTCGCAACATGTCATCCCTGCGCTGTGCCTGGTCTGCTGACTCCTCCATCAAGCTGTTTTGGTCTGCAGAGGAGTATAAGTAGGCCAGCAACTCCGAATGGATGAAATCCTTGGTCTGTGAGGGATAGGTAATATTGGGTGCATAGAAAATGTAATGCTTTCCAACAACAATAGGCTGGGTTGGATAGATTAAGAGTGGAGTAACTTCAAGAAGCTGGTTTAGATCACAACCCTGGCTACCTATTCATTGGAAATAGAGGGGAAAGGACATTTTCCCCAGATGGGATAGCAACAGCAATAGCACTTAGACTTTTAATGTTTTACAGCCCTCTCTAAGTGGTTTACAGAGTCAGCACATTGCCCCCAACAATTTGGGTCCTCATTTTACTCACCTCCGAAGGATGGAAGGCTGAGTCAACCTTGAGCCTGGTGAGATTTGAACTGCCAAATTGCAATTAGCCGGCAGTCAGCAGAAGTAGCCTCAGTACTGCACTCTAACCACTACACCACTGCAGCTGCACTCAATGAATCTGAAGAAGACTGTTCTGACCTCAACTATCTACTGTATTATGGAAAGGTTCCCATAGATCATATGGTTGTTTGAATTCATATAATACACTGATAAACAATGTTTAAAAAACACATATGCCACAATGGCTGAATTCACATAATACATTACATAAAAAACAAATTAAAGCTTAAAACAGGAACAGACAACCTTTAAATGGCAACGGGTTGCATTAAAAAAACCCTATATTTTGGCCTGATTATGTGGAACAATTTTCTTGGAAAATCAAGTTAAGTGTAGCTGCCAAGATTTTTTTTCACAATAGGAGAGAATTATATATGTGGTAGACTGAAAGTATTAGAGGCCAAAGAAGTATCACAGCTGTCTATGTGTTTCAATTATGTGCATGTAAGAATCTAGACCCATTATAAATTGTATAATCAAACTTCCTAAGGAACCTCTTTATGGTTCTTCACTGTGTTCTTCCTAGTGAAGCTGGAATAGTTCCAATTAAAACTCATGCCCAAATGATGATAGCCACTGGCTCAAATTAATTTTCAATGCAGGTTGTCTGTTTTTTTTCCACTCTTCAAGATAAATTCCAGATTTCCTGCCAAAAATTACTTGGTACCAACCTAAGTCAATGTGGATTCTCTTTTCATGTATTGATTCCAATTTGATTTGATCAAGCCTTCAAGCAATGTGTCCATAAAACAATCTTAGCCAGGTGCCACAATAAATTCAGAAAATCCATACAAAAATGTTGCTCCTGCACATTACCTGTACAGTACTGTCTCCATTAACACCATGTTATTATGTAATGCAAAGCACTTCACCATTTCTTTACCTTTCATTTCATTTACACTCTTCAAGTATAAATTTACCTTTCATTTCATTTACACTCTTCAAGTATAAATTCTAAGGCAAATCATTACAATACCTTTTCTTCTTAAATCTCTTGCCAGAATACAGGTAATCCCTGAGTTACGACAGATCACTTAGTGACCTAACCACCTCAAGTACTTATGACAGAGTTCTGAAATTATGAATGTTTGTAGCACCATGGCAGTTGTTCACACTTACAAACCACCACAGAGGTTCTGCAACATTCGCCCTCCTATTTCCCCCTCCCCCTCCCCCGTCCTCTACAGGCACTAGGCCTGTGGATACTCACCTTGCAAAGATCCAGGGAGCCTTCAATTTCTTTGCCTGTTCGGGCCTTTGGTGCATTTGCAGAGAATGAAGGCCTAAAGTACTGCAAGATCATGCGAGATCAGTAGCACGAGATCTTGCATTACTGATCTCACCTGATCTCATGGTACTTTAGGCCTCTGTTCTTTGAAAATAGAAGCCTGGATGAGACCTGCAGAAAAAGGCTTTGCAAATGGAGAGAAGGCCTGAAGCACTGAAGCCTTCCCTCCATTTGCAAAGCCTTTTGCTGTATTTGCAAAAACGGTTTGCTACCGAGAACAGAGGCCAGGAAGGGCTCTCCAGGCGTCCGTCCTCGTTAGCAAAGGCCTCCTCAGGCCCTTTGCCAGTGATGACAGAGGCCATATGGCAGTGTGCAAACTTCTGGGCTTCTGTCCTTGCCGGCAAAGTCTCCTCAGACTAGCGCTAGTGGAGTTAAGAAGATATCATAATGGTTTGTTGGGGGAAACAAAAGCAATTTCTTCTTTTTGATTATGCCATGTGGCCCAGCGAGGGAGCTGCCTTCTTTATTCTGCCTTCCTGAGCTCCTCAAAAAGTAAGTATAGAGGAGGCCCATAGGGCTTTAGGTAAACCAAGCAGCAGAAGGCAGAGCATGGGAGTGCCTGTCCCTGCACTAGGCCTCCCTTGATTTCTCCCATCCTTAAGTCATCTCTTGCTCTACCTAACAACCCATGCATTCGTTTAATGAATGCATTGGGGAAAGCAGGGGCAGGGAGATCGCTAGTTAGGTGGTTCATTTAACGTAATCCCCGACTTCTGATATGAATGGGCAAGCTCCATTAATATCATAAGTCGGGATCTACCTGTATCAGGATCTCAGAAAAGAGCAGAACATTTTATTATTTAAAAACTAAATGGCCGGCGCCAAACAGTCTCCTGCTTGCTGACTGTCTAGTTCGAATGAGCAGCTTCAGGGATTGGGGCATGGCAGCCAATCAACACAGCCTAATGAGGAAACAAGCTCCATCTCACATTTTTACAGCTCTACTGGCTTCTGAATAAAAGACTTCAGCTTCTCTGCCACGTGGGGGTAGCCTCTTCTGGAGCTCTTCAAAAAGTAAGTACAATAAAGCTATCGGAAATGTGGCGGGGAGAAATAAGTGGAATCTGGGATGCTAGCAAAGTAGGGCCCAGTGCCTGTGGAGACCCAGCAGGACAGTATTTGGGGGGGGGGGGAATAGGCAGGGGGAAAGTTGCAACGTCTCTGCATAAGGGAGAATGACATTGTGGTGCTGCAACATGCATAACTTGGTCATAAATACTTTGGGAGGGGGGGTTGTTGTAATTTTGAACAGTCACTAATTGAACTGTCGTAACTTGAGGACTACCTGTAGTTTCATCCCACCCTGGCAAAATAAATGATCAAGCCATAGTTACATTATTTATCATTAGGTGCATTATTGTCTTTGGCATAAGGTCTCGGATAGATTTGTTGATGATCCCAACATATGAATCAACAAGATTGCGGATAGTTTCTACTTGGCGTTCCAGTTGAGGATCCATGGAAAAGGTATTTTCCTGAGCTCCATCTTCATTTTCTATCTGTGTATAGGAAAAATGGACACTGTTACAATATAAAATGTTTAACATCAGATCATCTTTTCAATGCCTCCAACAATCAGAACCACAGCTCTTTCATAAGAACTGCTGCACAACTTTCAAAAAGGCAATTTAAGATGGCAGACTACAATGCTAATGCACAAAACTGATAATGTACAAATATTAGTCTTTATCTTCTTCTTGCATTAAATATCATGCAGTGAACTTCTTTTGCATCTTATTATTCCTCTTAAAATGTATTCTTATTATAAATTCATTTTCTATAGGATAACCCGTTTTTGCAAATGATGTATCTTGTCCTATTCACCTTCACCTAGATGTGGAATATTTAATAAAATGAAAAAAATGTCTATAAATTATTAGAAGGCAGCAATTTCTGCCTTAGGTTTAGAAAAACTACACAATTATTATATATGCAAATGATGTTAAATACGTCAAAACCCAAGCTGATTATCTTCTTGATTCTTGCACTATGAAAGAATATGCAAAATAAAAGTTATCTCAGCTGAGTATGCTTCACATTTCATTTATTTTTTGTGACAATCAAGACTGGATATCTGGAGTGTCTCAAAAGAATATTGCTTTGTCATTATTTTTGACATGAATATTTCTTCAGTCATATCAAAACTACAAATCATCCTTGTTTAGCAACTACAAAATGCAAAACGCAACCTTGTTGGCTCTTCACGAGGAGCTAGTTGTCAGGTTTCGGTGTCGTCTCAAATAAATTGCATTTCCAAACAAATAGTCTTTGATGAAATCTTTCATTTATTAAGCACGGCAATCTGTCCCCGACTATGTCATAGCCAACACTGACTTCCTGACACCTTTCCGTTCCCCAATTCTCTGCATCTCATTGGCCATCTTCCAAATCACTCTCCCCATATCTACTACTTCAGCTCCCAGGAATGTCCCCCCTCCCATCCATCTCCTAGGGGATATTATCTTCAGGGAAAATAAGTAGGTGAAAAGTCAAGCGTCCTCTTGCCAGCTGCCCCCTCTTCTCCTCCTTATGTCAGCACTGTAACAAATGTAGTTTGGAGTGCTGACACTAGTAGTTGCCTCAGCCCAGCATGCCTAGTCAGCAGCTGGAGGAAGAATATGGCAAAGGTCAGCTAGGGATAGTAAAGTGCAGGGTGGCCAAATGGGCACAATGGGATGGGAGATAGGCAGGGGGGAGGGGCTGAAGCATAAGCAAGCGTGACAGGGCAGGGAAGATGAAGTTGTTGCCTAACAATGATGCGGTTCTTGTTTTACAACCACAACTAAAACTACCATCACTAAGTGTGCAGTCATGTGATATTTCTGTTAGACTAGCCACAGCTACCCCTAGGAAAGAACGACTCTTGACTTGATGTTAGAGAAAAGGTACTTTTACTAGAGATGCTGAGTGCAGCATAGTGAGGCAAGCTCTGAAGAAAAACTGGGGTGAAAGCAATCCCCAATGTCCAAAACCCTACCCCCTACGGCAGTAGACCAATCCAATCCTCCTACAGCACTCTGCCGGCCAAAACGGGCCACTTGGAGGCCCTGTGCAGCCCATTTTCAGCCAGCAGAGTGCTGCTGGAGGCCGTGGAGGCCAAAAATGGGCCATGCAGGGGCCACATGGGGCCTCCATGTGACCCGTTTTTGGCTGGCAGAGTGCTGTTGGAGGCCAGGGAGGCAAAAAACAGGCCGCATGCCCCCCCCACCCGCAGCCCATTTTGGCCGTCAGAGGCACCATGGGCTGGTCCTTTGATATTTTCAGGCCGGTTGTTTGGCTTTCCCCTGACCCATTGTGGTTACTGCTGCTCGGAATTGGTTTGAAGGGATGACCAGTCGGAAAATTTCAGGTCTGGCACTGTTGTATTGCAGTAATCTGGACAGGGCGTCTGCTAGAAAGTTTTTCCTGCCCATGTCACTAGCATCTGCTTGAATCACAAAGGTGACATCTGGGTTTGGGTGTCTTAGCACAGGCTCCACCGCAAACAGCCACTTAAATTTCTCAAATGCTGCCTGCATTCCACAGTCCACTTTAAGGATTGACTAGGTTTGGGCTTTCCCTCCCCTTTTGTCTTTAGTAGGTTCATGATGAGTTGGGTGATTTGCACAAAAGAGGGAATGAATTGCCAGTAAAAGTTTGCAAACCCTAGGAAGCTTTGAAATTGCTTCCTTGTGTGCCCCCCACCCCCCACCCCCCCACTCCTGCCTTAATCTTTTCTGGATCCATTCTGGATCCATCCCCTCATGCAAGATCTGGTATCCTAGGTATTGGATTTTATCTTGATGGAACTCATACTTGGAGAGCTTAGCGTACAGCTCATCTGCTCATAATATTTTTAGCATTGTTTGCACGACCTTAACTTGTTTGTCTCTTGTTTGGGTATAAATCAGAATGTCATCTAAATACACCAGCTTCCCTTTGTATTTGTATGCAAAGTCATGCAGGACTTTGTTTATTAGTTGCATGAACACAGCAGGAGCCCCTTGTAATCCAAAAGGGCGCACTCTGAATTGGAAGCACTCCAGGGGGCAATTGAAAGTTGCATTCCACTCACCCATCTCCTTAATCCTGACACAATAAAAGGTTTTGCACAGGTTCAATTTCATAAGAATCTTTCTCTTGGCTAGGTGGGCTAATATTTCCTTCATAAGTGGCAGGGGGTACACATTTTCCACACAGACTGCGGTAAGCCCACGGTAATTCATGCACAAGTGGAGAGAGGGCTATCTTTCTTTTCTCACAATAAAACCGGAGTGGCTACTCGGGGCTGGGACAGCTAGATGAAAACACATTGCAGATTTTTGTCTATAAACACACTGAATTCTTCCAGCTCCCAAGGGGTCATAGAGTACAATGTAGGTTCTGGCAGTCTGGCCACAGGGAGGTTCTCAATGGTGCAGTCTGTCGGCTGGTGAGATGGGAGTGTGCTTTTTTCACTAAAGACATCCCTTAGGTCCCAATATTCCTTGAGGATTTGGGGGATCTCACCTTGGTTGATTTTGTGCCACAGTGACTAGTTCCATCATGCTCAGAGTGGTTTGGTTGCTAACCTTTCCAGGAGAAACTTTTCCTCCATTGTCCCCCCCCCCACCCCCGCACCATCGGATTTTTAACAGTCTCTTTCACCAGTTAACCACCATTCAATTTCTGGAGCCATGCCAGGCCCAGCAAGAGAGGACTCTCTATCCCTGGAGCCACGATAAAGCTTAGGGTTCCTCAGTGATTCCCCATCTGCATTTCTTTTCTTTTTTTTGTTAAAAATTTGTAAACTTTATTAAAACACAAATAAAACACATATAAAAACATTTACACAACGAACAACATATAAATAAGTTAATCTTTTGAAGCATTTGTTTCGTATTGGTCCTTCAATTAGTACAGTTATGCTTATTCCCCTTAATCTTTACCTAATAGTTTCCTTTTTCCATTTCCCCCTCCCCACTCTTTTCCTCCCCTAAGAATTCCCCCCTTATTAATCTATATACTATATATTTGGATTATCCCTTTCTTTTTAAAATTCCCTCTACAGATTTATCTGCCCGTAGGAAGTTATTTATATACATATTTACATTTTTATTCTATTCTTCCTCTAGTTGTATTTCTTTGATGGTGGCATTATACCATTGATACAATTTATTCCATATTTTGTAATACTCTGTCTCTTCTTTTTCCTTTAGCTCTTTTGTTAGCATATCCATTTCGGTGCACTGTGTAATTTTGTCCATTACTTCTTTCGTTGGGATTTCTTCCTGTTTCCAGTTTTTGGCATACGTTATCCGCGCTGCCATTAGAATATGTATCAACAAATATTTTATTTCTTTAGGATATGTTTTGGTGAAGATTCCTAACAGGAAAGTTTCTGGTTTCTTCTCTATTTGTAGCTTAATAATTTGTTCCAGCCATTTCTTAATATTGGACCAAAATTTCTTTGCCGCTGGGCACGTCCACCATAGATGGTAAAAAGTACCTTGAGAGTTTTTACATTTCCAACATAGTGAGCTGTTTTTCGGATGAATTTTTGCCAATCTTGTGGGTGACATACAGGGCCAGATTTTCCTATAGGCTAACTAGGCTTCAGGCTAGGGCCTCAAGATCAAGAGGGGGCCTCAAGATCAAGAGGGGCCTACATTCAAATTGTTAGCAAAATTAAAATTACACTTTCACTATAGGTGAAAGGGCCTCATAAGTGGAATAGCCTAGGGCCTCTTTTCATCTAAATCCGGCCCTGGTGACATATGCCACCTATAAAACATTTAGGAGGTGGACAATGAATCAAAGAATTTGTAAACAAAAAGAATTTAAACAGATGTTAGAAAAGGAACTAGAACTATTCTTTAAAATAAATAAAAAATTTACAGAATTCTTTACAGAATACTTGGGACACGGCAAAAGCATATATAAGGGGCCTGACTATCGCGTATATAGGGGAAAAGAATAAAGAAAAGAGACAACAGTTAGACAAATTGTATCAAGAATTAAAAAATATAGAATATAAACTTCAACAATATCCCCATAGTAAAAAAACAAAAGAAGAATGGAAAACAATTAAACATAACTTAAACTTGATAAACCAAAAAGAACTAGCACAGAAAATAAAAATGGCCAAACAGAATTATTTTGAGTTCGCAAATAAAACGGGTAGATAGCTGGCCTACAGATTGAAAAATGAAAAAGATAAAAGGATGATACACCAATTTAGAGATGCAAATGGAGAAATCCATTACAGCAGGAAAGCGAAAAAAGAAATTATCCAGACATTTAATGCAAATTTATATAAACAAGAAGAAATAGAAGATGAAAAGATAAAACAATATATAAAAAGATCAGATATTTCAGTAATTACAGATGAACAAAGAGAAATGTTAAACAGGCCAATAACTAAGATGGAATTGGATGCAGCACTGAAAAAACAAAAAAATAATAAAACCCCGGGACCAGACGGCTTACCGGTGGAATTATATAAAACTGTACAAGAAACAATAGGAGAGCTTATGCTGGA